AATTAAGGGATTTTCTTAAAAGGAGCAACCACGTGTGAATATTCCATGCGTACACTCAAACTCTAGTCTATATTCAATGACAATTCTCAAGCAGCTCCAATTAAAATCAACATATATTGACATGGTGTATATTTATAATGAAAACCTATCAATATGTGCCTTTTTATGAATATAATTTATGAGTATATTCAACAACCCCTGCATTTATCATGTCTATTACAATGTTACTATATTGGTCGACTGATAAAAACAGTAATAACATTGTTACCAAAACTTCACATTTCATCAATTATTTTTATATCTATTTCTAAATAATTGTAATATTGCGTAAATTAATTATATATTTATATATATTTCATCTAATAATCATGCCTCTTAGGACCAAATTATTTAAATTAAAGAAAATTAAGGAAGAGAAATATTTTTTCTTGGTAACGAAAGAGAGAAGAAAAAAAAAAAAAGAAAAGGGGGAATTTTTTAAATTGTAGTACAGAACAAAGTCCTTAAACCTAGAGATAAGGTATGTCAATATAAATTTTCTATGGCAATTTAGTTACCATCTTTTGTCAACCAACTAAAATATTCGATATTTTGCCTGATGGCTATCGGCACTATTGCCAAAGAGGCGCACACAGATATTTTAAATGGTTTTATTCATACTACCTTATAGTTCGGTCTAAAATCCAATTAATACCTTTTCTTTGTTCAGTACTACAATTTGAAAAATTCCCCCTTTTTCTTTTTTTCTTCTTCTCTTCTCTCTTTCGTTACCAAGAAAAAATATTGAACTTCCGTAATTTTCTTTAATTTAAATAATTTGGTCCTAAGAGGCATTATTATTAGATGAAAGAAATAGACTTATTTAATCAATTAACCCAATATTGCAATTATTTAGGGATAGATCTAAGAATAATTGATTTTATTTTTTCAACACACAAAACGCGATATCCCGACTAGGGATAATTGCGTCGATTTATATTTTTTTAAACAGAAACAGTTATAAACATATTTTACAATAAAAATAATTTAAAATATAAAAGAGAGAAACAATAATATATATTAGGAACCTGAACCTTTCAGTTTAGAAAGATAATCATAAATATATTTACAAAAATAGGTAAATCTATGATAATTCTCTCTGATATTTACAAATTGATATAGATATACAACATTGTTTATTGTCTGCTGTCTAGCGCTAAAAAAGAGTGGGCATTCCAGCACTAAGTATCTCGAGTTCTGGAATTCGTTGCCACAATGGCAGCTAGAGTATTCAACCGCTCCAATTTTTGATAAAAATCCCTTAATATTTCCATGGTTCGTTGTAAACTGGGTATTATAAATATTGGAACGGAAAAATGTTGGAATTCCAAATGGGAAAAAGCTTTGGAATGTTTCATTTGTTTTAAGATATATTTCATCCATTTTTGCACCTAAAAATGATCTAATTATACTTGGAGCATGTTGGCTAAAAGCATTTTGATCCTCTATCGAAAGATGAGCCAAATCACATTTATTTTTTTTTAGATTCAATAAAATCTGTGAGAAGGGGGATGTTCGCAAGACTATGGACACAGTTGGAAGAAGTCGTTTTGTAGGCTCTAATCGGCCAAAGAAGAATTGGATATTGAATAGCATTTAGTTTTTCTTTGCATCGAGTATTTTTTAATTTGTACCATATTTCTGAACCATACGTAAGAACTGGCCTGATAATTGCTTTATACAAAATTATTCTTTTTTAGTATTTATTCCCCACATTTTCCCACAAAGTGAAAACAGAAAATATTTCATTCTTACGATCCTGCACGAAATGTCGTTGATATGTGGGGTAAAATTGATCTTCCTTTTTATTCTATGATATGAGAATTTTATGCTTAATATCTTAACTTTATCAACTAGGTTTAAAATAATATTCGGTATTTCAATTGAAACTTTAGGTTTATTATGTAAGTAAAGTAAATTCGTTTTCTCTGGGCATATTGATAATTTATTCCATTTACACCATTGAATCATACAGCATAGAATACATCCGTTTAATATTTTGAGATGGTCGACAGACTTACTACTCTGATCAAAAAGTTTCGACACTTTTCTCATAAGTTGAAAAAAACTTTATTATTCTACCAAATTCAAATTGTCCCCTTCAAAGTAGTCCCCGTTGGCCGCGATGCATTTCAGCCACCTTTTTTCCAGTCGGCAAAACACCTCTTGTAGTCTGTTTTCGGGATCGCCTTCATAGCCTTCTTCGATTCCACTTTGATGTCTTCTATGCTCTGAAATTTCCCACCCTTTAACTTTTTTTTAGCTTTCCAAAAAGGAAGAAGTCGCAGGGGGCCAAATCGGGACTGTAGGGAATTTGGGGACACAGAGGTTGAGTGGTCCTGCAGGAACTTCGAATTTTGAGGGCTGTGTGCGCCGGCGCATTATCGTGGTGGAGGATCCACGACTTGCTCCTCCACAGCTCCGGCCGTTTCTGCCTGATCGCTTCCCTCAATCGCCTCAAAACTCCCAGGTAGGAATCAGCAGTTATTGTAGAGCCTTGTTGTTGAAATTCATGATGACGTCAACATGACCTTGACTTTGCTGGGAGCCTTTCTCGCTTTCTTTGGTCTCGGCTCATTTTTGAAGCGCCACTCCGATCGATGCCTGTTAGGTAGTTTCCGAATCAAAGCCGTAAATCCATGTTTCGTCTCCAGTAATGACCCTCTTCAGCAATTCGGGGTCGTCGGTTGTCGCTTCGAGATTGAGACTGGCCGTTTATGGTCTCCATTATATCTTCCATTGCACTGTTCGTTAATTTATGTTTGCTAAATCCGTGTTGCCTTGAACTCATTAGATTGTTATCTTCATATTATTTATTGATTTTGTTTTTAATTATGGTTTAGGAAATGTTTGACGTCAATGATATTGGTCTATAGCTTTTGCTTGTTTCATAGTATATTTTATAAGATATTTTGGAATGATCTTTACAAAAAAGTATTTCTATATATCCGGATAATTCAATACATTTGTGGACTATTTGTTGTGAAATCGGGATTAAAGGTGTACCTGATATTGGATCATTTTATAACTGATACAATCTGGACCTGGTGCTTTCTTGATATTTATTTTTGGAATAATATTTTCAACATCTTTTATTTCTATTAAAATGTTAATTTGGTTTTTATATTCAGGTTTATAGTTTCTAATAATAATAATAATATGTTCCTCTTTATCTGAATGTACATCATCATCTGGAATGAATCTTTCAAGAGACTTTCCATTTTTTCTTTCTTCAAAATATCCGGTATATTATCGATCATTGGAAGCCCTGAATTGTTGTTGGATGAAATCAGAGATTTAAATATTTTATAGGCATTTCCAAATGGGTTGTTTGATTCATTTTCTTCAATGAATATTTTCCAACTTTTTCTCTTAGCTCTTTCGATAGCGTTGATGTACTTGTTTTTGCAAATTTAAAAGTTATTTTATTATAAAACAACACTTAAAGTTTCACCGCATAAGTTTCTTTTCTGTGAAAAATCAATATTTATTTCAATGATTTCAATTTGGATGAAGTATCCACAGAAGGAAAAACAAATTGAATTTTGGCCCTCACCTTAACATTATACTAAACAAAGCTCAAAGATTAAAAAATCTTCTTTTTTCAATTTGTGGAAAATCTTGGGGTCTTAGCATCCAAAAAAGGCTTACACTTTATAAATCTATAATAAGACCAACGTTAACTTACGGAACAGAAATATGGTTTGAATTTATTAGCAAAAAATATATGTACAAACTGAACTCAATGCAATATCAAATTCTGCTATGGTGTACCCAAACATATAAAACAACCAGTTATAACTGTGTTCACACCTTAGCCAATATTCCTTTGATCACTGATTATATGGAATCTAGAATTATAGGTTATGAGTTGAATAATTTATCAACAGAATATAAACAATTTTATGAATTGTATATTCCAGGTATACTCAAAGATTTCATTATATCAAGGATTAATTTACTGAAAAAGAATACTAATCGAACATTTCAAAGTTTCTTTCCTTATGATATTCCGAAATATTTTCGACCAAACTATTATAATTCACAATTTATCACAGATCATGGAAATTTCAGGTTTTTTCTTAAGAAAATTCAGGCTGTGCAAGATTCGACATGTTTCTGCGGATTGGGGGAACAAACTTCAATACATCTCTTGCTGGAGTGCCCTGTCTTTCAAGAATACAGAGTTAACAACGGATTAACTGCTTTAGGCCCTAGTGAATTAATTTCAAGTAAAGACACATATATAAAATTTAATTTCCTTTGTATATATATTTTGGACTTCATTAAGAAAAATGGTCTTTGATGTAACGATCTCATGGAAATATTGGACATATTATATGGTTGTAAACAATATATAGGTGTATGCGTGTATATGTGTGTACATATGTATATGTTTTTTTTTTTTAATTTAATGATGTAACTGTAAATAAAATTCAAAAAATATCTCTATATGTAAATAACATTTTTGAATCTTTCTAAGTCGCTTTCTGTGTATCTTTCCATGTTGAATATTTTCTTTGTTATATATATTTGTATGTACATTTAGCGCAAGTGTCCCTAGGGGGACATAGCGTTTTGAATTGAAATAAAATAAATAAAAAAAAATGAAGTATGAAAGGGTGAAAATATGAAGAGTAATGGCGAACAGAAAAATAAAAGTGTCCAGGGGCGGGAATCGAACCCACAACGTTCCGCTTACCGGGCAGATGCCATGTCCACTAGGCTACCCTGGACGTATTTTTCCGTTCGTAAATAACACTTAAAGTAACTTATAATACATTATAAAGGACTGCGGCGTATGATTATAAAACAACACTTAAAGTTTCACCGCATAAGTTTCTTTTCTGTGAAAAATCAATATTTATTTCAAAGAGAAATATTTACTATTTCTAACTTTTTTGGATGAAGTATGAAAGGGTGAAAATATGAAGAGTAATGGCGAACGGAAAAATAAAAGTTTCCAGGGGCGGGAATCGAACCCACAACGTTCCGCTTACCGGGCAGATGCCATGTCCACTAAGCTACCCTTGACGTATTTTTCCGTTCGTAAATAACACTTAAAGTAACTTTTATATCGTTTTCCATATCTTTTAGTTCGGGATTCATTTTACAAATTGTTTGAACTAAACCTGTAATTTCTGTGATTTTGCTAATGCTTCTGATGAGTACAGTGGGATCGCTTTGCCTGGGAATATAGATTTTACTTTTTTATTGATAACATCCGATTTAATTAATTCTTCCTTCAATGTGTTCATGTCTACTTCACTGGGGGTCTTTATAATTATTGGATTTCTGATATTTATCACTTTATTCTAATTCGCCTTTTTCCTCTCTCAATTCTTTTATTTTGTTTGATATCGATTGAAATACATTAGATTTAGGTTCATTATTCAATGGCGAAGCGACCAATGTGTGTTCTTTGTTAAGATTTTGTTTCTTCTCTATAACTTCTTTAGTGCTTATGCTACGAACAGCCACAGCGTATGAAGACCTATTGGACTGCAAATCGCTCTGGATTCTCACAAATATTTGGTCCATGCTATTGGTAATTGAAGTTGACATCTGATCAATTAGATTGTTTATTTCTTTAAGGACTATGATTCCGTCCTTAGTTTGCTTAACCATTGTTGATAAAAAAAAAAAAGAAATATAATTTTTAGTTATTATTATTATTTTTTTTTTGGCCTGGTTGAAATTTCTTAGCAAAATATTAAAATATTTCGTCGAGTTTTACACTCAATGTTTGAACAAATACATCCATGGTTAACTTAACCTAGGGTATTTCTCTTTTGCATATACGTATATAAAGAAGCGTAAAATTTGCATATGTTGTCAACGAAATTTCAAAGTAAGTGAATTAATCCAATAGATATAACAAAGATAAATACAGGGTGATCCAAAAGTCCCGCACTATTTTAAAAATTAATAACTCCGCGAATATTTGCACTAGAGCAATGCGGTAAACACCATTGTATTCAGGATGCAATGGGATTTTTTATGGCAAATAATGAAAAATTCGAAATTGATTTTAGTTACAATTTTATTCGCCAGATGGCGCTCTACCAGAATCAGAGATTCAGCGGCCAGATTGTTTGATAAATTTAAAAATATAACTGATCGACACGTATTTTCCCTTTTTGAATACCAGGACAGAACCCTAATAATATCAAATAACAAATTAATAAAACACCACTACGCCAAAAGTATGAAGAATTGGTTAACGATTTTCAAATACAATCAGAGATATGTAAAATAGGTAAATGCAAATTAAAACATGTAGCAAAAATATGTATATTTTATATGGGGTTTTGTGAAATAGATTGAATGTTTGAAAAACACTGCTGATATCAATACACGAATTTTTGAAATGTTAATATAGTACCAAAAATTATGATGGCACTACTAATAGGATTTCTTGCTATAAGAAATGTGTAGTTTCTTGATTGATTGGCGACACTTGACTATTTAACTGGATATTTGTCATGATCAAAAATGAAATATAGAGGGGAGTGACAAAATATATTTGTCGTACTTTATTCCAAATATCCTATGGGCTTGTCAAATGTTATCATTGTTTATTATACTGTACACAATTTTAAAAAATGTGTCCCCTCAAATAAAAATAATTTTTAAATCGACCTTTTTGCGTTGAAAAACGTGGTAGTAAAATCATTTTGTATTATTTTTTTTTCACAAAATTTCTAAAGTTATTGGTGTACAGAAAATATTCCTTCTGCTATTTCTTTTAATGAGCGAAAAGCGAAAACTAAACATAAGGGGGAAAATTGTGTGTACCAGTGTTATTCGAGAAGTTATAACACTCTGGTTTGCACGACATAATATGTGAGCAAATGACAAACAAAATATTACTGTTCACAAAAAATAGAGTCAAGATGTGAGGACAGCATTTATTATCCCCATATCCCAACACAAAGAGCTGCAAAATATTGGTATACAATATAATACATGGCAGCTTATCTAACACATGAGGTAACTGCTTTCTCTCTTGTATTAGGTCACAATCCTGCTCAATGTGGCACCCTTTATTCTCAATCGCCGCCTGGAGACGATAAATGACAGAATGGACAACATTAAATAACATATCTGTTGAAATTGATAAAACGTGCCATCTGATAGAAGCCTTCAACATGGCCAATGTGGTAGGCCAGCATCGATAAACACACGATTTAATGTACCCCCATAGACAAAAATCGCAAGGCGTCAAGTCTGGCGACTTATCATACGATTTTCACCGAACGTATCCTTCAGCAATTTTGGCACCTCGGGAGATATGAGGAGGTCCTCCATCTTTCATGAATGTTATTTCGCTTAGTGCTTTTGCCCTGCACAATATGGGAATACCCTTTTCTCTCAAAAGTTGAACATAACGTTCACCAGTTACAAAAACGGTTTTAAAAGTTCTTCCATTGATTTTTCAAAGAAAGATGGCCCAATAATAAAGAAGTGAACCCACACAAAACTAACTCTAGGCTGGTAAAGTGGCATTTCTGTAAAAATCCTAGGGGTTTCTGTTGCCCAAATGCGGCTGTTTTGAATGTTAAATTTTCCGTTTAGAGAAAAGTGAGCATCATCTGTCCACAGAACATTCGACAGTCAGTTTTCATCAATATCAATTTGCCGTAGAACCCATGCAGCGAATTCTTGACGCATCTCAAAATCGCCAACTTTCAGCTCGAGAAATCTTTGAATTTTGTATGGGTACACACAATAGAGACATTAAGTGAAGCGTCTTCGGATATCACAATCATACTCGGCGAATTTAACGCCAAAAGTTCAATTTGGGGATCACCTGTCCAGGATAACAAAAGTCAGCAGGTTGAGGACATGCTAACCGACCTCGACCTTACACTGTTAGATTACAGAGAGAACACCTATCTATCCAAGTCCACAGGCACAGAATCCGCGATAAATTACAACATCGCACCCACAACACAATGGAAAATCCTGAGAGGTGCAATCAGTGACTACAGACCAATTTTAACAACCCTAAACTTCAAAATTGAGAATGTCCATTAGAATAAAAGAACATGGAACTTTAGGAAAGCCGACTTGAAAAAAATTCACAGAAAAGCTTGAAGAAACGAAAAATTGAATTACAGAACGCTTGACAAAAACTTGGAAAAATTCTCTTCGAACATTTCAAAAGCTGCAAGAGCATCGATACCTAGAGGTAGACGTAAAGACCTGTGGATACCTTACTGGAAGGACCACAACATCGAGGCAATGATTTCAGAAAGAGAGAGAGAGAGACGATATCAATGAACTTCTTAAAAAAATAAAACAGAAGAAAACAGAAAGGAACTCATTGAAATTATTCACAAAATATCACAAGAAATTTGGATATGCAAACAAGAAAAATGGCTGAATTCTGCGAAAAAATGGATCCAAGAAAGGACAGCCAACACTGGAATATGATTAGAGTGTTAGAGAACAATCAAAACCAACACCAATCCTCCAATACCCTAACCGATATGAATAGAACAGCGAGAACGAGAACAAACAGATGGCTAACATAATTGCTGAATATCTTTCAAGCACTTCCATACTCAACTATACGAATGAAGACAGGACTCTAAAAATAATATAAACCAGTTAGTTAAACAAGCGAAAAACTTCCATCAACAAGATATTTTCTCGAGAGACTTCACACTGAATGAGCTAAACTTATCAATAAAAAAATCCAAGAGGTCACCAAGAGATAATCTAATCTTTGGTCAAATGATTAAACACTTTGAAGACAAAGCTAATAATCAACTCCTACGAATACTGAACATTTCATGGCAAACTGGTAAACTACCAAAGAATTGGAAGATATCAATTATAGTGCCAATACTGAAGCCAAACAAGATGCCAAGGAATACAAGAACTATCGGCCAATTGCTCTCACCAGCATACTTTGTAAAATACCAGAACGAATTATCCACTCTAGGCTCATAGTCTGGCTCACTAACAATAATAAAATAAACCTCTACCAAACTGCCTATAGATCCCAGCACTGTACGACTGATCAACTGTTCTACTTCTGTCAATCAATAATAGATTCTTTCCAGGAAAAACCGCCAAAGAAGACCACGGCTATATTCCTTGATATGACCTCAGCTTTTGATCGAGTGTGGAGGGAGAAATTACGTGAAAAGCTGCACAACATCGGAGTAAGAGGAAAAACCTTAATCTGGATTGCAGACTTCTTAAAGGGAAGAAGGTTAAAGGTTCGAGTCAATGGAGAATTTTCCAAGGAAGGAAGAACTTGGGCTGGTGTAACTCAGGGATCTGTGCTCAGTCCTCTACTCTATCTGCTATATATTAACGACATCCATCACTTCCTCACTGAAGACACAAAGGTTGCCTGTTATGCAGATGATATAGCCATATGGCACACAAGTAGCAGCATAGAAAAAGCGTAAAAAATACTGAACACATCAATGAGAGGACTGGAAAAGTGGGCAATGGAACTCCAAATGACCATAAACCCAATAAAACCAAACCTATGCGTCTTCTCCACTCACAGGGAAAAAGGCATAAATATAACCACAAAATAAGCATAAACAAACAAATATTTGATAAAATTAGAATTCCATAATACCTAGGTGTGATACTGCAGTCCTGGATGTTTCAAGTTGGTCTCGAGGACCACGCCATCACCATCACCTAAGCGGCGAAGTACGCGATCTACGTATTCATCGTAGATCGCAAAATGCGTGGTGTCGCTGGAGACCCACTGGCGATTCTTCACCAAATTCTGCAGCGCTGGCAGAGGCGCCATATTCATTGTACATAGTGTATATAATGCATATTATATTTTTTTAATAGTGCAGACTGTGCATGTATTGACAAGATGTGTCAACAAAATTATTTTAATTATTATTGATGAGGAATTGGAATTTTCAGAACACATAATTAGCACCTCAAATAGAGCTATCAGAAAACTAAACATTCTGAGAAGGCTATGTGGAACAAATTGGGGAGCAAAACCCAGAATTCTCAGAACAAGATATACCACCTTAATAAGG